TAAAGTAGTATTTTAGGTGATTAATAACTCCTCCAAAACACCAATCACATGTGTACCTACCATAATTGTTAACCACTGGACTTAAAAAAAAAAGTAAGCACAAGATCTCTCTATAGTTAAACGAGGGCTACATGCGTCATTTAGCTTACCCAATAATTTGATCTAGAATTCTCGGGTTATATTTCAAGCAAAGAGAGCAGGAAAGAAGAAGATGTGATTGGTGTTGTGCTTACACGAGGGCCGATCGGCACAGTTGTTCTCCACCGCACGTCGCAGCCGCCAGGTCTAGCGTCTCGCGACTAGGAGCGTCGCCGCCGCCTCCTGCCTCCACCACCGCTGGCCCCCCTCCTTTCTCCTCTGATATATCGCCGGAGGCCGGAGGGAGTGGGGATCCATCGTTTTTAATAAGTTTTTTTTTCAGTAGATCGAGTCCTTAGGGTTAGGGTTTCTCCATGCCAAGTTTCTTGGTTTTGGGGATTTATCTACTCCTCTTCCTCTCCGGCGACAGAGAGAGGGCATGGTGGAATTGTTTTCTCCATGGCGGCTCTGTTGAAGATGACGACGACAACTATAAATTCAACATCCTCACCAGTATGTCATGGAGACTTTTATTTTCGGATGGTGACATCAAGATGAAGATGGTGTCGCCGCCATGGGATAATTTTCTCCGGTCTCTTATCCGTTTTATCGTGGTTAGATCTGGCCACGTTAAAGTACTAGGGAGATTAAGTTTCAGATCGGTCTTCATCATTCTTCGGTGGCAGAAAGAAGAAGAAGGAAGACACAAAAAGAAGAAGTTTCTCAACTCCGCCTACATGAATGTTGGTCGTCGTTCGTTGGACATCTGTTCTCAGGTCTTTTGTCAAGTGTTTATCTGTACGGTCATCTATACTGCAAAGTGTCGTACATATTTGGTTTTTGAGATCAGGAGTTATTCACGACGTGGGCACAATTTAGATAAAAATCGGTTTCTGGATATTTGTGTGATCCATAGTGCTTGTAACGTGTTAATGTACCCATCTATTACCTAATATAATTATTCTTTCGTCGCAAAAAAAAGATACAATTTTTTTATTTCAGGGTCTTTTATATTTAATTGGAGATGTACTATGTTGAGTTATAGTATAAATTTATATTTCTTTGAAAAAACTAAGGCTCAATATCGTTATTCCTCATGGGAATTTGGAAGCTACAATATCTCTCGTCATAAACGATGGGAGAATGTTGAAAAGACAGGGTGACGAAACCCAGTATGGGCCAGGTCGTGTGATGAACCTCACGTCGGCCGAAACGACCTCATTCTGACGTTTTTGTACACAATCTCGTGTTCCGTACAACCCATAATTTGTATAGTGACTGATAAGCCTATACGCTCATGTAGCCCAGTTACATGTTTTTTTGCCATGTGACCCAGTTACATGTTTTTGTGAAAATAGCCCAATTGCTTTTGTTGTTTGGATTCTTTCATGGGAGAAGTCTATTTTGGATCATCCAAAAACAAATCTCTCATGTTTGTTTTTAACCATCTAACTCTAAGATCAGAAATCTTTAAGCATAAACAAGAAATATGGCCATTATCTAAATGGTTCTAAGATGGTTTTGTATTCTCTATAAATAATAAAAATTCTTTGCTTTTTAAATAATTAATAACTAAATTTATTTTAAATCTTAAAATATTACTAGTATTCATTTTTTCTAAATACATAATCTATTTGTTGTTCCTTTATTTGGAGTTATTTGTGCTTTATGTTATTCTATTACTGTACTTTTATTGCTTTTAACCATGTCCTCTATTTATTTAAAGCATTATTTTGCACTATCTATATCATACTCCAAGGTTGACCAAGAGAGTACATAGCTGACTACAAGTAAACTGAAGGTCTAGAAAATGGTACCATCCTCGCAGGTGCCCCCCCCCCCCACCACACACACACACACACACCATATATTGATCATATTAAGGATTTGCATCTAATATGTCATCACTGGCCCTTCCAAAACGATTTGGTCCATACCCAACATATCTAGCACTCTATTTGGATAATATGGATTCTTTTAGTTGATCCCTGAGTTTAACATAGCATAAAATAACGATTTAAATAAAATAATAGGCATGACTAAGAGAAGTAAAACACTAGAAGCAAGTTAAAAAATCCAAATAACTCCATTTTTAGCAATGATATACATACTATTCTTTTTGGAAATAAGATGGCACTAGTTTCCTATTTTGTATTCAAATTAATTAGTTGTGTTTTTTTAGAAAAAAAACATTTTATTATTTTTAAAAACACAAAATCAAATTTAAAACCAGCTCGATGATCAAATTTATTTGGTGTGGGTAGTTTGATGGTCAAAGATTTATAACTTCTTTAGGACGCTAAAGTTGTTGGTTGTTGCGTAGTTGATTGCATTAGGGGGAGAGAAAACCAAAAGAGTCAACGGGTCCAAGACGTCATTGTTGAAAGGGGATGCCCCTTAGGCCTTCTCCAACGCTGTTTTATTTGGTGTGGGTAGTTTGATGGTCAAAGATTTATAACTTCTTTAGGACGCTAAAGTTGTTGGTTGTTGCGTAGTTGATTGCATTAGGGGGAGAGAAAACCAAAAGAGTCAACGGGTCCAAGACGTCATTGTTGAAAGGGGATGCCCCTTAGGCCTTCTCCAACGCTGTTTTTTTTACTAGTAGCCCCAAGGGCTACGTAAGATCGGATAAAAACGTAGGTGCTCTACATTTGTCATAGTGGCTTGCAAAAGCTACATATGTTTGAGAAGAGAGAATGTGGTCCATGCTAAAAAGAATAGGGAGAGGAAATAAAGGTGAGTCATGATGAAAGGAAAAAGTTTCTTTGCAAACCACAAGTAGTGATAGTTTGCATCATATGAATAATAGTCTCAATATTCTCTAGTCTATGTGAATCACTTTATTTGTACTAGAACTACTAAGAGTGTTAGCCTCCATTGGTGTTGCCCTTAGAAATGGGGCCAGTCGAATGTCCTCTTTGCAAACCAAATTATGTAGTCTCTTGGAGTGCGTCCATATGGCTCACATAGGCTTATAATAGCTTAGGAAGCCATTTTGTTTGACCTCTAGACTTGCATCTCTTGCTGCCAGTGTTGCTTTTGCCTCAACATTGTGTCTCCGTTTTCCTCCTCTATCTGATGGCTTTTGTTGCCACTGTCCTTGGTTGTTTTCGTTGCTACCTCTCCAACTTGACTCTTTCAAAGCATCACCATGTGTCCCTTCCACCTCCGTTGCCAACCAAATCTCCTTTACCACATGTGACCATTACTGCTTTGCCATGTCCACCACCCAAGAGCCTCTTTCTATCACAAGTGCTTGCTATAGAGCAACTTAACACCTAACCCTAACAAATTGTTAGTGGCAGGACGAGCAACAGAACCACCATGAGAAGAGAAAGGACAACATGTGCACGACGAGTGAAAGGAAGATATTTCATCCACACAGGGGCCACCTCTAAGATATATGGAGGCACATGGTATATTTATCATTTTAATTACTTTCATGTTTTTTAAGAATCAGAATCCAACCTACACGTCAAACAGTTCGCAAAGTAATTTTGATTCAATGGAGAAACATTTCTAACTTCCTAATAAGAAACTAAATCGGAAACAAACATGGAGCTCTATCAAACGGACACCATCCCCTTAAGTGGACCACATGTGTCATGATGAGTTAATAGAACTATTCAAGTCTTTTATCATTGATATTAATGGAACATTTCTTACGATGTCTTCTATCAAGAGACGGAGAGAGTAACCACTAACTAAAAGGCACATAAAGTAGTAAGGACACTCCCAATACAGAAATCACCATAGTTTCTATAAACATTAATTACACCGTCACGTAAGTATTCTGCTGATGTGGCAATGTAGTTATTGAAGAGAGAGAGAGAGCAAAAGTCATAGAAACGGAGTCTAAGTTAGAAACCATATCTACACGAGAACCAAGACATGAAGAGATGTGATTGGTAAAGAATGGAGAGAGAATGTATGTGATTAGATAAAAAATTGTTCTATAGAAACTATCCACTGGAACTATGATTTCTATATGTAGTGTCTATATAAATTAATAGGTATAGAAACTATATATAGTATTTAGCATTGGGACGGCCCCAATGCACATCTTTTGTGTACTGTTTGACTAATTAATATGTATATTTAATGTTTGATCATACTACCTACTCCATCTGTTTCAAATTATAAGTCAGTCTAACTTTTTTAGTTCATCTAATATGCTATGTATCTAGACATATTATTATATCTAGATGTATAGCAAAATAAATATAAAAAAAAGTTAACGTGACTTATAATTTGGAATCGGAGTATGTCTTACTCATTTTCGCGCGGTAGCTTTTTACTGTCCTCTTCCATCAAGAGGGTAGTAACATTTAATGAGGTGACATATTAAATTGTCTTCAACAACCGCGACCTAAAATACAAGGTCCATTTATCTTTTGGGTATCGCTACAGATAAATGGTTTAATACCTATTTTTTTTGTCTTCAACAACCAGACTAAAAGATAACTCTTTCTGCAAATAGATTTCCAGAAAAGAGGATACTCAGATTTGAGTTACGACTCTTCTAATATTTAAAATGGATCTGCTATAGGTATCGTGACAAATATTATTTTAGGTTTGGGTTAGATTTCCCCGGTGCAGACAGCCTTAAAGAGGGTAATTTCCCGATAGTAGACAACAGGGAACATCGGTGGCATTTCCATTCCACTCCAGCGGACGCCACGCGGGCGGCGACCGCGACCGCGACCGCGACAAGACCGACCGCCCGCGGCGCCAAACAGAAAAAACACGGCACCACGCAAACGCTGCCGCCGACGACGCGCGACACCGCACTGACGCGACCACCGATCCGATCCCAATCCCAACCAGCTCGTCTCGGCTCCCGCCCCGCCCCACTCTCAGATCCGCGGATCCCAAATTCCGAGTCCATTTCGGCACCACCCTGCCGTGCCACCCGCCTCGCCATGGCGGACTGCCGCAGCCTCATCGAGTTCCTCCGGGCCTTCGAGCAGCACCGGCGCCGCGCCTCCTCCTCGGACCCTTCCTCCCCGCGCCCCCGCCGCGCGTCCCTCTCCTCCTCCTCCACCTCGCGGTCGCGATCGCGATCGCGATCGCGGGGCCGGCTATTCCCCGCCCTCTGCGACCACTCCGCGCTGGCCGCGGTCGACGCGCTTGCGCTCCTCGCCTCGCTCGCTGCTCTTGCGTTCCTCGCAGCGCCCTACGCGCGATTGCTGGCTGTCGAGGCGCGGGACGCGGTGGCCACGGTGGCGACGCGCCACCCGGCGGCGCCGTGCGTGCCACTGGCCGCGGGCGTGGCGGCTGGGGCCGCCGTGCTGGCGTGGGACGCCGCGTCGCACCGCGCGCGCCGGTGCGGTAGGCCCCGGTGCCGTGGCCTGCGCAAGGCCGTGGAGTACGACATCCAGCTCGAGACGGAGGAGTGCGTGCGCAGCCTGCTGCCGCTTGCGCACGGTGTAGGAAGCGGGGCGGCGGCCACGTGGCCGGTGCCGGGGCTTGGGGACGAGCACCGGGAGCTTGAGGCGGTGCTCAGGAAGATGGCGCCGCCCAACGGCCGTACCGTGCTTATCTTCCGTGCGCCGTGCGGGTGCCCAAAAGAGAGGGTGGAGGTCTGGGGCGCTAAGAAGGTGCGCCGGATGAAGAAGTAGGGAGGAGGCCATGAAGAACAAACAGCTGAAGGCTCTCCTCCCATGGCGAAGGCCATGTTCGCTTGAAGTTATCAGTCGTACCGTTTCAGCGAAACAACAGTATTTCTCTCTCGTAATAAATTAGCATTGTTTCTCTCTTGTAATAAATTAGTATTAGCATCAACCGTTTTTTCAGGCAGCCGAACAAGACCGAAATAATGAGCAAATAATTAGCGTGACTGCTCCATCTCAGATAACTACAGTTTCTACGTACATGATAGTATTACAGTTTCCCTGCTATTCTAGTCTCTTGTAGGAAGCATAATGTGCTCACGGAGAGGAATAATTGTGGAGGTAGATACAATGTCATCAGTGGATTATGCAATAAGTGGTTGTTGCCTATTGGGTATATAAATAAGCGCAGCAGAGACAAATCCTTTTTTTCTTACTTAATTAAAAACTTGCTATATCATCTAAATAACCATATCTTGTTAGTTAATGTTCTACTTATCCAATATGCTGGTTTTGCCGTGTTACTAGGAAATGACTACTAACTACTAAGGGGGATGGCTGTTTGGAGAAATTGCTTTCATTCATATAGTCCTATTGTACTAATGGACGCTTCTTATCTAAAATGTTAGCTATGAGGGGTAGCAGTAATCCATCTGTACTGATGTATAGTCTCCCCTGTTTGTTTCAAGCTGTTCTGAACTAGGAGTTTAGAATGTTAGGTCTGCGATGTCACACTCACACATAGTTTGTGCCAGTAGATTGATTTTGCAATGCTATTTGAGATGACGCGTTTCTTTCTGGTCCTTTTCTCACTGCTTGACCTTGGAAAAATAGTGTTCTCTTTATGTTTATGAATATTCCTCCATTTGTTTCTCTTGGTTTCTTAATAATGCCACTGTTCACTCTGTTGCTTATTAGGAGTATCTACTTATCATAGTGTTTCTGTATCTTATGGACTCTAATTTCATTAATGCTATTTGTCTGGTTTCTTACCTATACTGTTTATGCATTGTTATTTCCCTTGAGTTTTGAGTAAACTGCTGATGGCCCAAAGTGAATACCATTTCTGTACCCTATACTAAATACCTAAAAACATAAATGATACCTCTTGACGTACATTTGATCATGTATCAATACTTCAATGTTGGGAGAAATTATTTGTAACTTCATTTCTTCACTTCTATCATCTTACAGATTATCCGCTCCAGCTGAAGCCATTCAAGTCAAAATGTCTGTAAGCTTGATCAGTGTCATCGACATTGTGGGTGTTCAGATCAAGTTTCTTCCCTGAGCACGGATGCTCAAAATCTACTAGCTTGCTTTCTCTGGGGTATTCAACTGTCTGTCTTGCACAGTTTTGTTCTTCCAGATATAGCTTCTCTGCATCTACTTTGCTTCCTGATGCCGAACTGGTGGTGCTACCTCCATTCTTTTGAGGCTGAGTATACTCATGTGCCATCTCTGTGTCACTTTCATACCCAAACTCTGCTTTACTGTATCCTTCCTCATTCTGCAAATGAGCCATCCTGCGCTCACTTAGGCTTCTGTTAAGGGCAAACTGGGTCTCATGTTCATGAGGTCTTTTTCTGCAAAATAATGAACTATCATCATATGCTTTTAGTACTCCATGGTGCTGTAGTCTGTGCTCCTTAATGAATCCTTCAGCCACAGACAAATAACTATTTGTTGAACTTTCAACAAACTGGATTTGTCTGGGCTCTAATCTATGCACACTTGAACTTCCTTTTACATCTGTAATCGCATTACTGAAGCATTCAGTTGATACTTGTGAAACTAGCTCTGATATTTTTATTTTTGCATCTTCCAGGTTTGCAGGACCCAAATTCTGTTTTCCAAGTGTATCTTGTGCCTGCTCCAAAACTGCCTGTAGGTATTTCCCTTGGGCTTCAATTCGTAGTTGTAGATGCCTTTGCACCTGTTTCCAGTTTAAATTTCAGATCAGATTATCAGAATCACTGCAGCACAACTCCATTTTATAGACACTATAAGGGGACTTTGCTGGACCATTAAAAACATTGGACTCCAATATTGGGTGTGTGAAGCCATAGAAAATAATTTAGGATGCCGCCCCTCACAATCATGACCCTGAACCCTGCACTTCTATAGGCTGCCAAATGATCAGCACAGAAGAGGCTGAGGTGGTTGGCACTGTGTGATCAAAGGGAAACCCTATTTGTAGAAGACGAGCAGGAGAAAGAAGCCTAGAGGTGAGAGAAACCAGACTAGAATGGTTTGCTATTCAAGCATGCAGCTTCAAGATCACTAATTGATTCAATTACCATTATCTGTGTCGGACAGAGTGCACAAGTGCACTTGGCCAACAAGAGGCAGCAGGCTGCCACAACACGGGAGGTGCGAGGAGGACAGCTTGCAGAAAGAGGAAGAACACACTACACCCGTTCCAAATCATAGTTCACTTTAGCTCTGTCCTAAGTCAAACTTACTTTCACTGACTTTTTAGAAAAATATATTAACATCTACAAGTTCAAATAAATGTACTATTAAGATATATTTCATGGAGCATTTGATGAAACTAATTTGATATTGTAGCTGTTGATGCATTTTTCTATAAACTTGGACAAAGTTAGAGAAGTTTGACTTAGGACAAAACTAAAATGAACTATAATTTGGAACGGAGGGACCATATAAAGGCTGCATGCCACCTGTTAAAGATTGTGGACTTGCATTAATGGGAATTTTCATCAAACATTTAGAAGTTCAATAATAGAATTGGTGTTTGAGAGATCTGTTTTCATATTTGTTTTTTTAACAGACTATATGTTTCTTCACCCTGTAATAACTAATGGCTATGTGCATCTCTTGACTCAGCTCAAACAATCTTATTGCTTAATCTGAAATGGTAATTAGCTTGTACTCCCTCAGTTCCAAATTGAAAGTCATTTTAGATTTGTCCTAAGTCAAAACTTTTTTTTAGCTTTGATCAGGTTTGTAGAAAAAATATATTAATATCTACAGTATCAAATAAATACACTGTAATACTATCAAAATATATTCATGGTTTATTTAATGAATCTCGTTTGATGATGTAGATGTTTGTACATTTTTCTATAAACTTAGTCAAAGTTAGACAAGTTTAACTTAGGACAAAACTAAAACGACTTATAATTTGAAACAGAGGGAGTATATACGTATTATACCTACTAACACCCTTGCCATCGTAATGTAAATGTTTGGTTCTGAATCAGATCCGGATTGTAAATTATTTTGTCCTCGAGGTAGTAATTTGGAATCGTGGTCTTCCCTTATGCTCTTCCGAAAGTTTGGGACTGTGCTAGCTAAAATGCTTGAGATAGCCCATTGTTCAACCTACCTTATCTACCACGTGAAAAATCTGGAACAAGAGTGTTATCTTAGTGGTGTCAGTGACTCACCTCAAGTTGTTCATTTAGCTGTCTCTGAACCTCAATTTGCATCTGAAGTGCTTCACCAATTTGAATAGTCCTTGCACCCAGGAAAAGAGATTATTATTTCAGTATTCAGATTATATGCAATTGCAGTGTGTTAACGGAGTCCTTACTTCTCTGCCTGCGGAACGACATTTGTACTGCTCATTGTTGCCGCGCTTGTTCCAGGAATCCTATCAGCAACGGATGTACATCCTATGGCTGCAAAGCGGTTACAAGTTGCCAACTCTTATGCTGTTCCATTATAATAATAAGTGTGGGAGTTACAACTTGTTCTTACCATTCTTTGATGTACTGACATTTGCTTGAGCTTGGAGGTTCTTGCTAAGCCTGTATTTCTGTAACATCCAAGAAATGATGATTACTGCAGCAGTTACAAATATCATTTTTAGCAGGTGGATTTCTGATTCTAAAGTACCTGGAGATGGCTTTTCAAATGGTACAAGGTGAGTCCTGGAATTCCCATGAGCCTCATGACTGTTTTTGGAGTAGCTTCTGGGCGATGAATAGAAATATAAGAATTCTGTTGGTCTCTGTACTTTGAGAAGATATAAGAATATTATACTTACTCTCTGCTCCACCTAATTGATTGACTGCATCTACAAATCGCTGATGTAACTCAGGTGTCCATTTCAGCCTTGGTTTAGCGTCAGTTGAGAGAACCAGCCCAGAATCTCCTTGGGCATTTCCTCCACGCAAAAACAGATGCTGCTCCATTGGAAAGGATGTTCTCGTGGTGAAGAGCTCACTCGGGCCCTGATGTTGGTGATACATCTGCTGTCGAAAGAACATGTGTTGGAGCGTTTCCTGCTGACAAACTCAAACGCCCTCTTGGCCGACCTTAAGCCTTTTGATACCCTTTTGGCCTTCTCAGGTTGATAAGGAGTGCCTTATGAGGCGCGTTTTATATGGGAAAACATAGAATCTAGCATCTTGGAACAAACATCAAAAGAACAAACTTTAAGCCTACTAAGAGAAGATGCTAGCTTTAGTAATTTTGGAATCAATAACCAAAATCGAAATTTTCATTTTGAATTTCAACCTGTGACTTCTATGTATGATAACACCTTACTTTTCTAGGTGTATTTTACTGATTTAAAACACTTGAAGTGCGTGTGGCATGTGTAGAGATAAACACGAACAACTATAGATAAAGCAAATTATACTTTTATGTAGCTTTCTGGAATATGATTCTGCTATCTGACCTGTTCAGTTTATGAAAGATGCACTTCTGAATTTATGCCTCATGAATGACCAGCAAAAAATATTTGAGTAGCTTCTCTATACTGCCAGCTGGGGGTAGTTTTGCTGGTATTTACGAATGGTTCAGTCTTGCTGCACTTCGGTACATGATTTAATTATTATTGTTTATAGTGGAATCAGATGCAGTCTGGGTTAATTTTGTTTAAGCCACACGGTGACACTTGTCGTTATACTTGTTGGGGATGCTATTCTACTTACAGAAACATAGTTTTTCTATCAGTTTTATTCTGTCCGTTGTATTACTTTAAAGTGCATGGAATATGAACAAGAATAAGTTCCATCAGCGTCCTTTCCTAAGAT